TATACTACACTAGGTATACAGAAATGAGGTGCGGGGTTTGTGACAAAAGTATAAACAAGATGTTAGGTAGTTATGTCAAGAGAAACGTGGCATATAGTATATATATATATATATATATGTATATATATATGTACACACACACACACACACACACACACACACACACACACACACACACACACACACACACATATATGTCCAGAGAAACAAAAGGCTTTTGGGAAGGTAACGTCCCATTTGTGTATATACTTCATCAGAGCCTGATAAGCACACAGAAAATACTTAATTAGTGAATGCTAATTAAGCAAATAAATATTATTGATATAATTGATAAATAAAGAAACAAAGGAAGAGTAAGATTTTAATAAGTAGATACAGGAAGGGAGATAATTATGAGGAAAGCAGAGAGACAAGAAAGATGCCACTCATTTTGACCAGTGTTCTGGGCCTCTAAAACACTGGTTACTTTGGAAAAAAGTGTATGCAAGGCTTTGCAGATGCAAGATTTAAGGAATATTGACTATTGCTTTATAGAAAATATTAAATCATTGACTTTTTACACTTCTACACAGAAGTCATTTAAAAAATACTGGTTGATTACAGTTATGCAAGACAAAAGGGGAAAGAGTCAAACGCAGGTAATCAGAAGATGTCTCTATAGTTTATGCAATGTTTCCTGAAGGGTAAAGAAATCTGGGTCCAGTACCCAGATTTACGATGATTCTACTGCATTCAGACTCACACCAGTTTCTTATAGAACTATTATGAAAATACACAAATGTGGCTTCACAGTATAAACCCAAAAGTTTTCTGATATAAACACTAAGGGAAGAGAAGAAAGTGCTTCTTACAAATCTGGTCAGCATAAATTTGGAATGAAATATTGTAATTTTGCAAGGAGACGAGGCATGACTAAAGAAGAACAGGCATTAGCTGCCCATAATTGCTGCTAAAAATTCACATGACATTAAATTAAGTTAGTTTAACCTTAAATTAAGAAGCAAGAATGTGCACAGGATGATCATATTCTTCATCCAATCGTTTATGCTTAATTTACCCAACAATCTAACCAGGATGGCACATTCAGCCCACAGCCACCATGGCCTTCTTAGCGCTTCACAGTTCTATGGGCAGGACAGGAAGCATGCCACCCTCCTCCTAAGCTTCCCATTGACTCTGATTTTAAGTTCCCAAATTATAACAAATCCCATAAGCAGTTCAAAAGACAAATTCAAACTTTCCCTAGCTACATATTTATTTGCATATGAAATCACTTTTATTAAAAGCTTCATGCACAAGCAAAACACCCAGTAATAGATTAGGTAAGCTGTAGAATATTCACAGTTTAAATACATAAAAATTCTGTTTCTAGCAATACTTTTCCCAGATGTTAGACTTTGAATTTGATCACATCTACAAAATATGACAACTCCAAAAAATATTCATAGAAGAAAATGCAGTGAAGGGGGTACAAGACACTCAGAGTTAATATGTTTCCAGGTAAAATTATTTTTATCATTCTCTGTTTTCTTAAAGGATAGGTATCTGCTTTGCATTACAAACCCCACTTAAAATAAGTGCCATCTTCTTCTTCTTTTTTTTTTTTTTAGGAAAACAAACAGGATCCACTATTAATTCTAGAAAACAGTAGAGCTGAAAGTGGGATGTCAAGATGCTGCTACCATAAAGATTTGGTTTATGGGCCTGCCACAGTGAGCAAAACATGGCTCGCACTCAATAAATATCAATGAATGAGGAATGGCATAGCATAATCAGGCAATTCGGGCAATTCTCTTTCTGAAAAATTCAGTTAGGTAGCACAATGCCAAGAAAAAACATTTAATTGGTTATAAAGTGTTCACTTCTACCTGATGGTTGGAGCCGAGCTGGTGTGGTAAGAGCGCAGGGAACGCCCAGGTGTTCTTCATTAGTTACTCCTGGGCTCTTCATTTGAGCTAACATGTTCAAACCATGAGTCCAGACAGTCTAGACGGAGGTGGCCATTCTGGGGAGTCCAACATTAAGGATTTGTATGTTACTTTAATTTTGGAAGTAGATGTTCCAAACATTGTGTTTAATTGCTTTTCTGTCACCCTGAATATGCCATATGGATCTTAACTCCTTACAGGCTCAGAGTCATTATGTGAACATTAGCTGTTATGTTGCAATCAATTCGTAGTAAGGTCCTTATATTCAAAGCGGTGTGGATTATGTGTGGCTTTATCTCGTCCTGTCTTGTGCAGTTGCCTAACTGTTCCTTTCTGAGGCTCTGTCATGTGTTTTTGCACACACTCTTCTTCTTGCCCAGGACATCTCACAATAAATCCCTTGTCCACTTACTCACTTCCTCCTCATACCTCCCATCTTTCAATACGCAGCTTCCATAACTACTCCGATTCAGTTATTCTTTTCAGTGTATCCTGTGTTCCTTCATTCACAACTTAATGGCTTAAAACAAATACTATGTTAACTACTTTATACAGTTTTGTGGACCAAGAAAGTGGGAATTGTTTACCAGGGTGATTCTAGGGTCTATGTCAAGCTTGTGGACAAGACATGAGCCAGGGTTGTAATCATTAGGAGGCTGGGTTTGAACTGTTGGATTTACTTGTTGGCTGGTTTGTCCTGCTTGATAGCTGAAGACCTCCTTTCCTTATCTTGTGGACCTTTCCAGAAGGCTGGCTGAGTGTCCTCGTGAGGGTTTTCAGGGCTTCACCCAGGAGCAAGTGATTCACGACACGGAACAAAGAGGAAGTCATATTGTTTTTCAATCCACACTGACTCTTACATTCTAATCTTGGCCATCACATGCCACCATTTATGCCACCTTTTATTCATTACAAGTCAGTAATTAACTACAGTTCATATGTAGGAGAAAGGAATTCAGCCCCACATTTGAAAAGGAGATTTAAAAACCTGTGGGTAAAATTTAAAAACCACCAACATGTTTTTACTGCATCTTTGTATTAGAATTTATTTATTGCATGTTTTCATTTGGGGAGTTGTACTGGCATCCTTAAAGCATTATTTTAAACTGTAGCTACAACATTGAGGACAGGAAGATATATAGGAATCACATTGTATTTTTTTTAATCTTTCACTTCTTAAGTGTGTGTCATATCAGTCGGCCAAGTTATTCAGCCTCTCCAAATCTCAGCTTATATAACTTTATAGGGGGAGTTGTTAAAACCCAGCCCTGTTGTTGGGTGCTATTGGCTTACACCTGTAATCCTAACTACTTGGGAAGCTGAGATTTGAGTATCATGGTTCAAAGTTAGCCTGGACAGGAAAGCACATGAGACTCTTATCTCCAATTACTTCACAGAAAATACTGGAAATGGAGGTATGGCTCAAGTGGTAGAGTGCTAGCCATGAAAGAAAAAAACTAAGGGACAACTAAAGCCCCGAGTTCAAACCCTAGGACCAGCACCAAAAAAATCAGCCCTGTAGGGTGATCAAGTAGGAATTACTAGTTATGAGGTAAGAGCACAGTGCAAATTAGAAAGTATTACATGCATCTGTCAGCACTGGACCAACCAGACTGCAGGGCAGCGAGCCTTGTATCTGTGCTATAGACTCTGAATTCCAGATTCTGTTGCATACTTTACTTTCCAGCCAGTAGGAAAGGACCTTTTCCCCCTCTTCTCTGTCCCAGAATATTTCCCATACTTACAGTGAACTGCATCTAGTAAGTATTCAACAGGCATTTATTGCTATTGGTTCTGATAGTTGTCTGCATTTTCCTTTCATTCAGAATAAACCAGGAAACTTTCTAAGCAGCAATATTTTACAGATAGAAGAGCAAGGGACTTCAGAAGTACAGGGGTAATGAATTGTTAGAATTATAATAATGTCCCAAACATCCAGAAACTCAGAAAGTGTAACAACAGGAGAGATTACAACAAAGATGAAACACCTATTTTTGCATAACTTTTAAGTCTGACCCCATGCCTTTACCAGATAAATACCCCTAACAGCTAAGGAGCTGTGTGTCTTTCCTTTAGAAGACTCACATTCTGTGTCTCTGCCTTTCTGTTTGCCTATTTGTCTGCATGGCACTTGCCTGCTTGCTTGCTTACTCAATAAAGTTCTGCCAAGTTTTCTTATCATAAAAAAAGAAAGATAGGTTATGAGATAGGACAGATGTGAATTTAAATCCCACCTCTACAAACTCTTATGCTCTGGGAACTTTGTGATCTCTCTAAGCCTGTTTTCCTTATCTCTTAGATGAGGATTGTAACATTGCTTGTTTGAAAAGGTCATAGTGAAGACTAGAAGGGATAATACATGAGAAGCAGCTATTGTTCTACCTGCCATACAGTAGGAGCTCTACACATGTGTCTTCTCCTTCATCTCGTGAACATGATTGTTATCCAGTTGCCCTATCATTGCTAAGAGCAAGGCATCAAAACCTAGGAAAGAACCACATCTTCCTAAGTGCAAGTCCCATTCTGGCACTAAATTAGGGTACCAGAAAAGAGGAGTCTCCAAGGTTTGTGTGGCCAACCTGGGTGGCTATCTATCTAAACCAGCCTATCTGTCTTGAGCTATTCCCATTTGCTGTCTTTATGAGCTCAGAGGCATGCACAGCTATGAGCACATTGCAGAAATTTGAAAAAATAAACAATGAAATGTCTCCTGCTTGCCGCACATGTATTTTCCCTCCCGTGGTTTAGGTTGGCAGGTTCTCATCTATAAAAAGAAAAAGTTTAGAAGAATAAAAGCAACCAAAAAGGATACATTTGCCAGCTTAAAACTCTTTAGCCCACCTCACCCATCAACTTTCCAATTCAAGGCTAAGATGTGAACAAATGTTCCAACCAATATTCATGAAAGATTTAATAATTATGTTGCTTATGAAAGTTTAAACAGCTGTTTAAGTTAGTAAAAAGGCTCCCACCCAGGCAGAATAACCTGCTGTACTCACTAGAAAGGTTTTTACAAATCATCAGACTCCATATTCAGATGGAAGGCAAAGACATTTGCTGCCCAGCCTTGAACTATTCAATTATGCATGGAATGAATTTGTCCACCAGGTCAATCACTTTGTTTACTCCTTCAACAAGGGTCTTGACAGCATCAACATTAAAGCCGTTTCCAAAGGCACTGCTAATCTTTTCAATTATTTATTTTTAAAAACACATATACATGAAAATAGGCTGGGCCTTGTCCTCTATGTAATTTTACTGTGTAACTGTATGAAAACAAGGTTCATTGTCATATGCATCTAGAAACTGTAGAAAATCATAACATATTTCCTAAAAGAAAGAATTATATTAACTCTGTGGGTCTTCATATAGATTGTTTCCTCTGCTTGGGATATGCGCCCCCTACACCACCCCATTTTGTAGCCATTAGCATGGCTGACTCTGTCTACAGAATTGTAGGCAGAAACTGAATCTTTTTTTAAAATAAGTTTCTTATTGTGAAAATACTGAAAATACAGAGGGGTTATAATCACATGAGCAAGATAATGAGTACATTTCTTATCAAGCATTGTTGCCTCCTCCTTTGTTTCTCCCCTACCATCCCTTTCCTTCCATCTCCACAACTACACTCCCCCCAACCCCCGCCTAAATTGTAAAGTTTGTTTTTTGACATATAGTGTCTTGTACATCTCATTGTTGCAATGGGTCCACCTGTATTCCTATTTAAAAAATTTGTTTTTTCCCTTCCACTCCCCAAATTATACCACCATCAAATGCAGTGAAAACAGGGGTTATACCATGGGGGAGGGACAGACAAAGTAACAAAAAATCACATGGTACCTTATAAATACATTAGACACAATAGCAAGAAAGAAAAAACCACTTGTTTCTTTATCCTGGGGTTCATTTCACTTATCTTCAACTTATCTGACCTTTTCTGCTTGTCTCAGACATATACTAGTTATTGAAAATAAGGGAAACCATGGGGCCTATGTTTCTTTGCACCTGGCTACTTCACTTAATATAATTTTTCCAAGTCTTTCCATTTCCTAACAAATGGGGTAATGTCATTCTTTCTGAGGGAGGCATAGAATTCCATTGTGCATATATACCACATTTTCTTGATCCATTCATCTACTGAGGGGCATCTGAGTTAGTTCCATATCTTAGCTATGGTAAATAATGCTGCAATAAACATAGTTGTGCTGGTAGCTTTAATATGGTCTTGTTTGTGATCATTCGGGTAAATGCCCAAAAGTGGGATTACTGGGTCATAGGGGACCGCTATGTGGAGTCTTTTGAGAAACCTCCATACTACTTTCCAAAGTGGTTGAACAAGTTTACACTCCCACCAACAATGCAGTAGGGTTCCCTTCTGTCCACATCCCCTCCAGCATCTGTTGTTATTAAAGTTCTTGATTATAGCCATTCTAACTGGGGTGAGGTGGTATTTCAATGTTGTTTTGATTTGCAAGAAACTGAATCTTTTCTTGGCTAGGATGGCAATTCTAAAATGAGCCCCCATGATCCACTGGAGGTATTTGTTTAATGGTCTGCCTACCATGCAACCCCAAGTTCTGCGAGTACAATTTGACCTACCCAGTTCACCTAGTCATCTAGTCTGTGTCTTCCCTTTTTGTATTATTTTCCTATATGCAAATTTTAACTCATCCTGCTAATTTTATGTCTTGGGTATTCTCTAACTCCTCCTCTTTTCTAACACTACTTTAACTACTTCAGCTCAAGACCTACCAACTCCAGGATGAGATTTTCATTCTTGTCTAAATCAAATAGATACAATGGCCTAAATAAGATGTTTCCTATAACCCTTCAGTGACTCTCTGTAGTCTACAGGACAGAACCTTAGCCTTCCACATGGCTGCCAGGCCCACTGTGGTCTGCTCCCCTGAGATGACCTTTCTGTTTCTCAACTCCTTGCTTTTGCATGAAGGCTAATGTTTATATTCAGAAAGGCGACCCACCAACAAAATGTAAGAGGGGAGACTTGAATTCTACAGACTAAACACAGAGCTACACTTCCCGCAGAATGCTATTGCTATAACTCTAGTGCTTGCTCTATACCAGACACTTGGTAACTGTATGTTGAATCTATGAGTATTTTGAAGAGCAGAGTATAAAAACACAAATACAACCTACCTGTGGATCTCATGCTTCTATCTTACTTTTTTCTCAGGAGATCTTTCATTTTAAGATGTTCTATAAAGGGTGCTGTGGTGCACCCTTATAAATGTCAGCTATTGGGAAAGATGGATTAGGAGGATTATGGTTTGAGGACAGTTTGGGCGTGGTGAAATATAGCTGTGATCTCAGCTCCTGGGAGAAACAGATAGGAGAAGTGCAGCCTGAACTCTGTTAAGAACAAAAACATTCAAGACCCTCTCTGAAAAATAACTAAAACAAAAGGCTGGAGATACCACTCAAGTAAGTAGAGTCTCTGCCTAGCAAGTATAAGGCACTGAGTTCAAATTCTAGCACCTCCACCTCCCAAAAAATTAAAGTCTCAAGAAATGTCACAAAGGACTGATTAACTTTTCATATAAAAGAGTTCTAACTACATTTGAACATAAAATTTAAAAATAATGTCCCAAAGGCTGTGAAGTAAATTTCCACTTCATCACCAGTTTTAGGAAGGGCTCCCACTCCATCCTATATGATCTTATGATGCACATAGTCTATTATCCATTGAGTGTTACATTTATTCTCAAGGATTTTTTTAAAATAGTGGGACTTTAGAGCTGTCATTGGCCTCTGGTTTCTCTAGACAACGTTCTTAAATTCTATAGATGAAAGATTAAGTGACCCAAAATCAATCAGCTTGTTTACAGCAGAAATTAGACCAGAAAAAGTCCAATAATAACCTACCCTGTCTTTGTTCTAATATCAATCAATAACTATCGATCTGAGGTGATTTTTTTCCCCACAGAAGACATTTGGCAATGTCTGGATACACTTTTGATGGGCCAAGACTGCAGAATATAGGGGTTGGAATTGAGCTGGGATCCATGCTGATGTGTCAAGGCCAGGGATAATGCTAAGCATTCAACAATGGCCATGATAGCTCCTCACAACTAAGAATTATGTAAAGAGTCAACAGTGACAATATTGAGAAATCTTGTACCACAGTGTTAAAAGATAAAGGAAAAAAACAGGTGAAGGAGGGTAGACAAGTGAAAGGGGGAATGAAGTCATAAAGCTCAATGCATAGGTACAAAATTAAGAAAATAGAGGGAAGGTGTAGGATTGGAAACAATGGGGGATAACCAAGAAAGGAGTACCGCTGATCAAGATGCATTATATTCATAACTGTTTTGTTGAATAGCAATTTTTAGTACAACTACTTAAAGATAATGTCTTTTTTTTAAGTGTTCAGTTAGCAAACTGAAATTGCCAACTGGATGCAGTTGGCTCATACCTGTAATCCCAGCTACTTGGATGGATAAGATCAGTAGAATCAAGATCTAGTCAACCTGGTCATATTTGAGAGACCCCCCCCCCACAACCAATAGCAGGGCACAGTGGTGTGTGACTGTCCTCTGAGCTGTATGAGAGGCTAAGAATGAGATGATGATGGTTCTAGATCAGACCTAGCAAAACAGTTCATCTCAGTGGAATATGCAAAAACCTTTAACATGATTAATCATCAGGGAAAATGGCCAAAAATGCCTACAGCTATCATTTTAATGTTTCCCATCATTCTGTGCAGCACTGTGTTATATTTGAAATAACACCAGCATTCAAAACCAAATCAGTTCTTTGAATCAAGGAAAATAACTGTTATAAGGAAAAGTCACGTATTAAAAATATTCCCTCATCCAGGCTCCATCAAAGTGAGTTTGAATACTCACCTGCTCCCTACCCCCCAAAAAAATCTAAAACACGTTTCTTTTTCATAAAATCCCCACAGAGGAATTCTTGAATGTATTAACATTTTAAAAATATTGCATTTCCTAAGCAAATCTCAGAATAAGACCTAGGAAATCACTGAGGATCAAAAGACAGGGGCTACCCCCAAGAGTCAACATTAGTGAATCTCTACTGGTGAAAGAGGTTCTCTGACAGGTATAGCCAGATCTGTTTATCTTCTGGTCAGTTCAATTTGTACAACTCTCCCTGCATTATCTCTTCACTTATTTATTTGTTAGAGCAGAAAGTTATGGAAGCCTCACAAATGAAACCTGGAAAGGACTGAGGCTAATATCGGAGCAGGCTCCATCCTGAATGGAGCTGCTAACAGTAGATACCCACGAGGTAGCCTCCTCCAAGCAAACAGTTCTCTCACGAGTACTTTTCCTCAGTTTTCCCATCAGGATAAGCTATTATGGGTAGGTAAGATGTGATCATTGAACAAGTTAACTTGGACGAAAGGAACACACCTTAACTATTTTTTGTAGCTTCTTATGAATCTGCTATTTCAAAATAAAATATATTTTTCTTTAAAAAATGACGTTAAATGGTGGATCTATTCTGGCTTTTTATTATACAGATGAACCTGAGGACCTACTTGCTGAAAGAAAACATGGGGAAAGGGACATCATAAAGGGTAACTATTCATCAGATCCTCCTCCAACACGGACAAGGCATCAAAAGAGCGGTAGCTCAAGTGCCTCCCCACTGGCTGAAGGAAGATGACAGAAAGAAGGGCCAGATGAAGCTGCCAGTAGGTGCTCTAAGGAGACGGCAGGGGCCAGTATACATGAGACCTCTTTGTGCCTAGGTCAGATATAGAGGAAGAAAAAGCATCAGAGAAAGGCGCAGTTTCTCCTGTGTAAAGACGTGCTAAGTGACACAGCCAAAGTGATATTCCTCAGATTTACACACTCTTCAGCTAAAGTGTGTCTGGGAATAATGGAATCACTACAGGGAAAGGAGGTAGGAGTCAGCACCCTGCTCATGTGCAACCATCATGCATTTGGTGTGTCACCGTGGACAAGGAACTCTTGGGCTCAGTGTCCTCGCCTGAAAGGCATAAGACTGAGACTAGGATTTTGACATTAGTCTGGTCTGCATAGCACATTTGGGGCCAGCCTGAGTTATGTACAGAAATTCTGCCCCCCAAAAACAACAAATAGATGACTAGCTAAATAGAATAAAAGCTGTTCATGGATGGCAACAAGTTTCCTGCCAATTTCAAACACACAAAACAGCTCATTAATAATAAATGGAGCCTGACATCATAGTGCTATTGTTGTGTCTTGACTATCAGCTGAGATGTCAGAAAGCTCACATTTTACTCTCTCCGAATCATGCCGAGCCATGGATGATCCATGGTGCTACAGTTTGGGTCTTAAAATGTCTCCCAAAGGACCATGTGGTAAGGGCTCTGTCTCCCCTCAAGATGATACTATTGGGCGATGATGGAACCTTTGGAAGAGCCTGTGGTCACTCTCAGCATGCCCTTGAAAAGGTCTGTGGGATGCTAAGCTTCTTCCTTTGCTACCTGGCAACAAGGTATACAGCTTGTTCTGCCATTGGCTCCTCACCTTTGCCATTCAGCACGCCCAGTCGAAGCCCAGGCAGTGGGTCTGCCCATTCAGAACCTCCAAAATAAACACTTTATAAATTATCTGTGTATTTCATTACATTGATGGAAAACTTCTAACATGCCCAGTTTCCAATATTTAGAATCATAACTTCTCCATGTTATCTGACTCCCTGATGCCTACTGAGAAGAGAAAAAGGAAAGCAAGAAGAAATAAAGTGGCAGCTCCCAGGATGCTTGCAAACCTTGGTAGGAATAAAATTGTAACACTGGAATAAAGTTGGGACGAGGGGAGAGTTAATCAGAGAGGCTTAATGGAAGAGGTAGCATTTATTAGAGATCAGATGGACAGCTCATTAATGTGCCTAATACCTAACTTAATACCTGAATGTGATGCACACATGTTATTTGCCTCCCCAATCTGTTCAACCTCTGAGGCTCTAAGCCTGAGATAGGGCAGATTCCTCTAAAATATAGCCACATAGACTTACTGCACTATATTCATTTATATTAAATGTGATGGCTTCTTTGTGGGGAACTCTTGTTCTTCTGCCTTCAACATCTTGGTAACAAGGTATTTATAAGTGCCTCAGGGCAGAAACCAGGGTACTTAAAATTCTGTAGTTACCAAGCCAGTAATTCTTTTTTTTTTTTTTTTGGTGGGTCATGGGCTTGAACTCTGGGCTAGACACTGTCCCTCAGCTCTTCAGCTCAAAAGAACTTACCACTTTAGCCACAGTGCCACGTCTAGTTTTCTGGTGGTTTACTGGAGATAAGAGTCTCATGGACTTTCCTGCCTGGGCTGGTTTTGAACTGTGATCCTTAAATCTCAGCCTCCTGAGTAACTATGATTATAGGTATGAGCCACCAGTACCCAGCTATAAGCCAGTAATTCTACCCGTAGGTGTTTACCTAAGGTAAAAGATAGTGTAATAACTGGGACAAGAATGTTCACAGAGCTCTATTTATTATAGTCAAAACCAGAAACCATCAAGTGTGCACCAACTGTGGAACTGAGCTATCCATACAATGAAATAGTATTCAGGGATATAAAGGAAGAAACAAGGTGATAGGACATGGATAAATCTCAAAAGCACTGAGTTAAGTGACAAAAGGGAAAGACTGAAGATTCTATGAGTCCACTTATATATGAAGTTCTAGAAGAGATTAAACCATAGGTCCAGACAGCATGTCAGTGGCTGTTAGTGGGAAGATGAGAAGAGGAAAAGATGACTAGCAAAGGGGCCCAAGAGAAATGTGGGGTAATAGAAACATTATGATGAATGCAGCAATGGATGCAACTTTCAAAGCTTTCTGAACTACACAGATTTGGAAATTTACTTTATGAAAATGTTACCTCAACAAAACAATATTTTTGGGTGTCATTCTTGGAGCTTGAACTCAGGGCCGGAGCACTGTCCCTAAGTTTCTTATTTGAGCCACATCATTGCTTCCAGCTTTTTCTGAGTAGTTATTAGACATAAGAATCTCAACATCAAATACAGTGAAAGCATGGGTATACCGTCGGGGAGGGACATACAAAGCAACATAGAAATCATCTTATAAATATGTTAGAAACAATTGCACGAAAGGAAAAAAGAACAAAAAATATTTGAATACTTATCTTGGGGTTCATTCCACTAACATCAACTTATCTGACCTTTTCTGCTTGACTCAGACATATACTAGTTATTGCAAATAAGGGAAACCATGGGACCTATGTTTCTTTGGGCCTGGCTTACTTCACTTAATATAATTTTTTCCAAGTCTTTCCATTTCACTGTATTTGATGTTGGTATAATTTGTGGAGGGGAAGGGATAAAACAAACCATTTAACTAGGGATACAGGTGGACTCATTGCAACAATGAGATGTACAAGTCATTATGTTGAAAAAAGAACTTTACAACTTTGGTGGGGGGGGGGAAGGACTGAATGGGGGGAGGGAGGGAGTATGGGAAGGGATGGGAAGGGGAAACAGAGGAGGCAACAATGCTTGATAAGAAATGTACTCGATATCTTGCCCATGTAATTGTAACTCCTCTGTACGGTATTCTCACAATAAAAAATAAAAATAAAAAAGGGTATGAGGTTTGGACACTGCCAAAAATTTTTAAAGAATTTTCACATTGTTTTAAATGACTTTTTAAAGATTCTTTAACTTAAAAAATTAAAAAATCTGGTATTTTAAAATGCAAAAAAAAAAAAAAGAATCTCATGGGTTTTCCTAACCATGCTGGCTTCCAACCATGATCTTCAGATCTCAGCCTCCTAAGTAGCTAGGATTACAGGTATGAGCCACCAGCACTGGCTATAAGACTACATTTAAAAAATGGAGCTGTGGCTCAGGTGGCAGAGCACTAGCCTTGAACACAAAAGCTCAGTGACCGCACTCAGGTCTTGAGTTCAAGCCTTAGAACAGGTGCTAAATATTAAAATAAATAAATAACAAGAACAAATTAGGACAGGGTTGGAACAGGTTCTAGCTGTCCCAGAGGGAGGATTTTGGCTTGCAGGGTGCCAGCAGAGCCAGTACTACCTGAGCCCTTTGGCTCTTGAGAACCTAGAATCAGTCTGCTTGCCCAGACAACTGACAACACATAGTCCTGTGTGTTCACTGAATAACCTGAGACAGCAAAGCTTTGATTCAGGAAACAGCAGGAATTGGTGGCTTCAAGGAGCTTCAGCTCTTGACTGTTCTATTGTTACCACTTCTCAAAGGAGTAAAAGAAAATGGGCTTATTTTTTCTCAACATTTTAAATCATAGTTTGTGCATGGTGATCTGATTCCTGTGGCCTGCCAGGATCTTGCTTTTTGGATCACCTCATGGCTATAAGCCTATGGTTGATTATGCCTGAGTCCTGGAAGCAGATGACTGGAAAGAAAAAACCCTGAACTCAAAAACAAATCTATCAAATCCCAGAAGGGCTGCTTCAAGACCTGTGCAAAACACTTGTTCCTACATCACCAAATGTACCACTGCCCATGGGTTCCTTCATCCACCAACTACCATCAAAACACAAATCTGAAAGTTCTGAATAATTTAAGTTGTACTTTTAGAATGCCAATTAAATACTGACAATGAAGACTCCTAACAGAACACTTACCACAAAAAGTCTTGTGTGTTTGCAAGTTGAAGTTATATGGAATCAACACAGACTCAGGGAGTGCATGTGAGGTGCCAAGCACTGATAGGCTAATTGTGTGCATGTTCACACACCTAGTCCTCTGTTAGTGACTCACACCTTCACATGTGTGAGTTACACAGCCCATTCTTTGAGTAAGTCCTCAATAGCTTAGAGAGTCAGTGACTAGATTAGGTTATAATACTTGGCTAGTTTAGAGATTGTATCTATCCCCCAAGACTATCTTAAGCACATGTGCACATGTACACACACACACACACACACACACACACACACACACAGAGTCTAGATGCTACATGTAAGTTGCGGATTATGTTGCAACCATTCTATGAGCAAGTCCCTTTCTAGGTGTGAAAACCTGGACAAGCGAGTTTTTCTCTTAGTTTCTTTGTCCATACAAATGAAGAAAATAGATCCTATACCACTGAGCTTTGAAAGGATTAAATAATGTAATTCAAACTAATGAGCACAAGAGTTAGCTATTAGTATAATCTCAGCCAAGCTGGTTTCAAATATAAGAAACTTATACAACCTTCAACTGTTCAGAGTTTGAGTGTCCACAGCATGGATGTCACTCTCTTTTCAATTAGACCTTCCTTTTTCGATGCAGTAAACGGTTTACTTTCATTTTTATGGCTTGAACTCAGAGCTTTGCCCTTTCCCTTTTACTGGCTGCTGGCAGTCTACCACATGAACCATACCTCCATTTCCAGCTTCTTGTGGATTAGTCTGCCTCGGTTGTCGTTGAACCATGATTCTCAGATCTCAGCCTGTGTAGAAGCTAGGATTACAGACATGACCCACTAGCACCCAGCTGGTAAAACTTTAGCAAATCTATGAGGAACATCTCCAAAAGATTCCCGTTCTTTCTTTCCCACGCTTGACCAGAATGTCCCATTCCTAGACAGCCCGTCCCCTCCTTCACTCACCTGGTCTGGGTACTTGTCCCCAGTGATCTCTGCTACAGTATTGAATGAAACCGTATCTGGGTAGGTCTTTGCTCCCATCTTCAGCTGAATGACAATTGTTTTTCCATAGGAAGCCAATCTTGTTAACATTTCGGCGTCTTCCACTGTGATACAGGCGGTGGGGATCTTGGGCACGTCGTCCTGGTATTCTTGATTCCCTGTGTGAGGACTTAGGAAGAGAAGCCACCAGGTTACCTTGAATGTGAAAATGGATCCAAAGCCCCTGTATAGTGATATTTGACTTTAAATGATCTTTGCATAATGGGCAGTATCCACCTGCTTTTTTTCATTGAAAAATTACTTTTAAGTTCAACTCAATAATGATCTGATTTTTCCAATAGTTTGGATGATTGTTTAGAGTTGAAGATGGTCATAAACTCTGAGGAACACTAATAGTGACAAAGACCAAGAGGTGAACTCATGAGTCCAGGGGACGGGGTCCTCTGAAGTCTATCAGGGAACAAGCTAGAAGATCTACATTGCGCTCTGGTAGACTTTCTTCCAGAAGCTCCTGGAAGAAAACTGACCTAGACATTGTCAGTTCTCTTGTCACTCACTGGTACTGGGTCTTTCTTTTATCTATCCCAAACAGAGGTCCAAATATACAGCTTATATCAATGGTAGCACATGGTGCAGTAAATGATAGAACAATGTCTGGGGAGATATTTGAATTCTTATGAAGAAAATGCTCAATAAAATCATGTTTCAGTTTAACAATACAAAATAAATCTAAAAGAGGCATGGTACCCATGCTGGTCAAACTTGTGGCTAACTTCTGTTGTTGTTGTTGTTGTTTTTTACCTTACTAGAAACATGTATAATTGAAGCTTCTATAAAGATATATTGAGTCAATCTCTGGATCTTCTAGTGAAGTTTACTGAAACTATTTTTCTGGGCTGGAGATGTGGCTAGATGGTAGAGTGTGTGCCTAGTGAGTACCAGGTACCCAGTTCAAACCTTAGGACCATCAAAGAATAATTTTCTAATCATTCATTATTCAATATGAAAATTGTCACTCACTCATTCAACACTCAGAATGTCCCTTTGCTTAGTCCTGGGTTACAGATCCTGACCCTCCTTGAGCACATCCCTTCTAAAACCACAAATAAGCAGTGTCAGCCTCTATGTGAATAACATAACTTATTAGTCTATTTTCATGTTGCTTTGGTTTGGACATGAACTATCCCTGACAGGCCTTCATCTCCAGCTGGTCATACTCTTTTGTGTTTTTGAGGTGGGGCCAAGCTGGAAGAAGTAGGTCACTTGCTTAGATCTGCAGTGGCCCCTTCCTGTCTCTCTTTCCTGGCCATTACCAGGTGTACATGAATAGATACTTCCTCATTGTCATGTCTGCCTCACCAATGCCCTGTGGTCTCTAAAACCATGATCCAAAACAGGTCCTTCCTCCTTTAAGTTTTCTGTGTCGAGTATTTTGTCACAACAATGACATATTAACACAGTCATTTTCTGTCAAGATAAAAAATTAAATCCTCCCCTATAGAAATATTTTTTCCTATTTCCATATCTAATCAATCATGAGACATTTCAGTTTTACAGATGATGGCTTGGTATATCTGCCATAGCAGTGACTCCAATGTCCACATGTATGGGCTCAATGGTCCAGTTTTATCTACAACTACATTCTTGGTGTGATGGTATTGTTTTGACCATATTTAAGGAGACATTTTATTTCGTGAAAGTGCATAGAAGAATGGTTTAGAACAGAGGCTACCTGGATTCAAATCCATGCTATGCCATTTGTTACTAATTGCTTTGCACAAGTTACTAACATCTTTGTTTCAAGAGTTTCTTTTAAGCTGGGAGCCAGTAGTTTAAGTCTGTGATTCTGGCTATTCAGGAGGGCAAGATCTGAGTAATACAGTTTGAAGTCAGCTTAGGCAGGAAAGTCTGTGAGATTCTGATCTCCAGTTAATCACCAAGAAGCTGGAAGTAGATCTGTGGCTCAGTGGTAGAGTACTAGTCTTGAGCAAAAAAGTAAAGGAACAGTACCTACGCTTTGAGTTCAAGTCCTAGTACAAACATAGAAAAAGGCTTATTTATTTTTATTTTTATTTTTGTTGGCCATGGAGCTTGAACTCTGGGCCTGGATGCTGTCCCTCAGCTATTCAGCTTAAGGGGAGTGCTTTACCACTTGAGCTACAACGCCACTTCTGGTTTTCTAGTGGTTTATTGGAGATAGAAGTCTCACGGTCTTTCCTGCCTGGGCTGGCTTTGAACCACGATCCCCAGATCTCAGCCTCCTGAGTAGCTAGGATTACAGGCGTGAGCCACCAGTGCCCGGCAGAAAAAGGTTTATTTTATATAGGCAAGTAAGTAATCATAATTGTACTTATTTTATAGGGTGATTTCTTTCAGATTGAATTAATTTCTATGAGTAAAATCTTTATTGATGCTAAGTACTTATTTGCTTAACTTCACTATTACATTTCAGAGACTATATAATCTCACATCATTAATACCATCTTAGTTTATCCATCATCCACCATTTATTAGATGTTGGATATAAATTTTTATTATTCCTAAAAGCAGAGGCAAAATGACTTATAAACTCAGAACTCAGAATACAGAGACCTGAAGTCTGAATCTTTGCTGCAGGTTAGTATGATCTACTCTCACTCCTGGTTCAGGCTATCGAAGTCACATAACCTAAGTTGAATCCTGACTCCAGCATTCTCTACCTGCCTACCATCCATGTAACATACATACATCCTCATCTGCAAAGCAGGGATAACACTAGCATTAGCTTCATAATGTCACTAAAGCATGAAGACACTGTTTGGCACACAGTAACTTACTTGGTAAATATTAGCTGTTGTTATTCTTTCAGTGCTAACTTTTCCCACTGAGCTGGTGAAGTGATTAATGAATTTGAAAACTTCTTTGCGACATGAAGGAAGACAATCTAAATATTTATTACCCGTATTATGTTACGTAATGTCTGGGAATCAACAATCTCTTCTTGTTCTCAGATGCTTCTACTCAAGAAAAGGTCAGGATACCACTTCTTAATAGACTCTTATGAGTGCTCTTTATAGACAAGTTTGTACTAGCAAGCTTAAGCATTCATAAAGTAAATCCAGTGCACAGGAATGCACCCATGACTCTTTTGGGGGGAAAATAACACTAAAAGGCATCCTCTAGCCTGGTTTCAAATATATTCAAAATATAAAAGCCTTTACTTTTGTTTCTGCAGCTAAACATGTCTTCTGGTAAGCGAGCACCTATCATTGCTAACAGAAGGCAAAATGAAGACCCAGTATCTGTACCTAGAATCCTGTATTCCTTTTATTCTAGAGGGACCAAACATCATGATCACTGTCTTCCTGCTACCGCTTATAAGCTCCATCTACAATTTAACAGAAGCAAAGGGTATACTACAAAGAAATCCATAAAAAGATCAAAGAAAGAACATTTAAGCATTAATACCAATCCTTTGTAAACTCTCTATAAGACAGAAGTGGAAAGAACATTTCCCAACATCTTTCACAAGGCCCCTAAGACTTACATCAAAACTAGAAGACATTTTAGGGGATGGGCTGGGGTTGGGAGAAAGGGAGGAGAATTATGAAAGGGGTGTCATTGTTAAGACACATTGTACTCATAAACGGAGAGGTTGAATTGAAAATTCTCTGTTCAACCATTTAAAAATAATTAATGTTATTTTAAATCAGACAAGGTATCAGAAGAAAATAAAAGTAAAAATGTCAACAAAATACAGTAAACAGAACCAGTAAAAAAAATGGAAAAGATTATTAACTATGACCAAATTATAGTATTTCAGCAAAACAAGGTTTATCATATAAAAATCAAACAATATTAACAAAATATTGTTATATAATATATAATATAACATAGGAGAAAGCATGTGATTAATTTAATAGATACAGAAAAGCATGTGAATAAAACCTAGCATCCTTTTATGATGAAAACATTAATCAAATTAAAGGGAGGCAACTTCCTTAAACACTACACTAAATGGTAAAAACAGGAAGCTTTTCCTTAAGATGAGAAAGAAGAAAAAGTTCTGGTCTCTTGACTTCTACTCTAAATTGTACTAGAGATTCTAACCAGGGAAATTAAACAAGAAAAAGAAAATTATTCCCTTTGAAAAGATATGAAACCATCTCAATTTATAGATGACATGACTTTGTACATAGAAAATCTTAATCTACAAAATTTAACAATCAATTAATTAATTAATAAGTTCAACCAGGTTACAGAATATAAGAGCAGTATACAAAAATAAGTTGTACAAGCCAGGCACTGTTGGTTTGTGCCTGTAATCCTAGATACTCAGAGGCTGAGTTCAAAACCAACCTGATCAGGAAAGTCCATGAGACTCTTATCTTCAATTAACTACCAGAAACCTGGAAGTGGAAATGTGGCTTAAAGTGGTAAAGTGGTAGCCTTGAGTGAAAGAGCTCAAGGACAGTGCCCAGGCCCTGAGTTCAAGCACCTTGACCAACAGCAAAAAAAAAAATTGTACAGTGATATGAAAACATGAGTCAGATTTATGTTACTAGATCAAAATACTTGAAGCAACTAACTTTACATGAAGTATATATAAGCATATATTATATATAACTTAATACATAAGTATAAAATACATAAATAAAAATAAATGAAATATATAAATATGTCTATAATGATATATCTATATACAATTTATTTGGTTATAGTTTTAGAGGTTCAGTGGTATGACACATTTTGGTTTATTTCTGGTGAGTATCTGATGATAAATTGCAGATGTGCAGCAAATATGGGAATGGCTGAATGATTTCAGCTTAAACTAGAAACAGGGAAAATAGGAGAGGAGAGGTTAGCTATTTCCATAATAACTCTGTCAGAAGAACTATCAGAAGGGATACATAACAAAAGTATCTCTTAATACTCCTCTCCTTAATGATTCCTCCGGGGAACGTAAGCAGCAGTGTATGATACAATAGTAACTCACTAGCAAAGAGAAACCTGAGTAAACAATGCCATGAACATTGGCAACAACAACAAGAAAGTAAATTTAAACTTAACAAAAGAATAAGCTTGTATATTGGAAACTAAAAATTGTTTGAGTAAATAAAATCTAAATAAGCAAAAAGATATCTCATGTTTATAGACTGAAAGCTTTGTTATTGCTCAACTGACAATAAT